GCGTCCTCTCACATAGGCTCCAAAAGTAATTTTAACTAAGCTACAAACTGATGTGACATACACTGACTTACAGTTTCCAGGGTGGAGAACAATAAATGTAAAGTCAATAAAAGATTAAACTGTAAACATTAAAAGTCTCCCTTGAGATTGTAAGGTAGAGATTACTAGGAAACTACTTTCGCTTTGGAACTTGTTTATATGCGTAATGACAAGGCCCCTAGCATTCCTCAAATTAAATTTAACAACTTGGTGCTTTCACAACACAGGCAGAGGAAAGCATTCAGTGTGGAGAAAGGCTCACTTCAGGGGAAAAAAATTAACACTTTGTTACCAGTGTACACCAGTAAAAGACAATGTCAACAACATTGTGGAATACGTGAAATGTCTACATATTTTTGAATGAAGATATATGACTTTTGTTCAGCATGATAAAAAACTGTCACAGTTTCTCTGTTTATCCTGAGGCTAAAAATCTTCCTAGTATATTATTTACCCTGAGTTCCTATCCCACTCCAAAGGAATTGATTTCATTACCACCAGGCTCTTGTTTATTTTAGGAGAATTTGTAGATTTGGGAGAAAAAACAACAAAAAAAACCCAAAGAAAAAAAAGCACTCACAAAACAAACAAAAAATCATTTGTTCAAACAAACTCCATATATTTTCCATGGTTGCCTGAAATCCTTGCATAAAAGGTTAAGCATAATTTCACGTCAACCTTTAGAAAAGGTTTTCTTCTTTCTTTGCTCAGACCACAAGTTTAGAGATCGCAGCCCAAAAAAACAAAACTGAGCTCATTTTTGTTTACCTATTTTATTTTCTTAAGAGTAAGTTAGATTTTCCTTATAATGACAACCAGAAGCGCAAGCGGATGCATACCTTCTCCTGAATCTGTTTCATTAAGTTCTCTGGGAGACTCTAAAAAGGCTCTTTACTTTGTAGCAATTCTCCTAATTTAACACCAAACACCTTATGTAAAGATGAATCTGGGTACAGTATTCCAGCTGCAGTATGCTAGGTGAACCATCCTTTTATTACTTTTCTTTTTGTCCTTTTCCCTTCCCAAAACAGCCTTCCTGTTCACTATTTTTTCCCTACTGTGAAATTTCAGAATTATCCCAACCACTGAATCATCTACAACATTACTTTTATAAATCAGTCTGAACTACACACAGACTATGCAGTTCAAACCTTGCTTCCTCTGTTTCACATCAACTTTTTTCTTATGTTTTTTGTATGTTTTTCATATTGCTCACAACTCCTAAGCCTTTAAGTGCTCAGAAGGTCTATACAGTATATGACCTAAATGGCTGACCTAAGGGTTATTTTACAAAACCAACATTCTCCAGTCAAATAACATTATGCATTTACTTGAAAACTCAAAAGTTTTCACAACTTGCCAATTTCACTACAGTACCCCAACACATCATATGTGAGGTATAATGATGACAAAGAATTTCAATAAACACAAAATACAAATAATAACTACATTCCTCTTTGAATTAAATTTCTATGAATTTGTATTTAAAGAATTGTGTAAAGATTACTTCCTTTTTCTTTTTAGTAAAAAGTCTTTGGTAACATGGTAATTCCAGATAATTAAAGTGCTCTTTGCATTACACTTTTGCCCTGGAGAAGCGCTTTTACTGTATGCAGCTAACCCAAAAAGGTCAATAATTCATACTATTCATCTTTAGAAAACAAAGATCATATTTTACAGTATCCTCCCACTGTTCTTGTGGGGGAGTCAGCCTAGAAGTCAAACACTGGCACACGTTTTACAGTTGATCCTCATTTCTTGTCAACTACATCATCATTGAAAAGTTAAAACCCCACTGACAAGTCTCAAGGTTTTCATGTCCCTGGTTCTAAGCAAGACAAAAAAAATACACGAACTCGGAGGAATCAAATTTCCTTGTCTTCAGAACAGCTCTTAACAGATTTAAATGTATTTGAATTTATGCCAGAAACTGGCATGTACCATTTTGATCTTCAGATTTCGTAACAGAAGTGTCTATACAGTATCTATACAGGCATGGAATTCCTGAAAGAATGCCTTTCATGGACAATAAAGACACACTTTGCTTATTCCATTTTTCACATCATGTACATTAGATTATTTGTATAACTATACTCTCTACCAAAATTAGAAAACCTAAACAGCATCTGAAGTGCAAAAGTTAGCCCTCTAGGGCAAATAAATGCGAATCCATGTTTGTACAGAAATATAAACTTCTAAATTACACAGAGCTTTGAATTTTACATATGTGAACCCACATGTATATTATTCCTATACAAAACCACCTTCTAAAGATATATAGTGGGTTTATACATATACACACACACACATTCATAAATACAACTATATATACATACACTATATATTAACATACTACTCAGGCCTACACGTGCTCCACTCTTCACACTTTCAGAAGTTTAGTTCAACTTAACATACATTTTGAGCAGGATTAAATAAGGAAGGTGTATAAACCCATGCAGAATAAGCATCATAATTATCTCGAATCAGGTATACCCACATTACCACAAAAGAGGCTGTCTATAAACAGATCATCTGACACTGATACTGAAGAAAATTCAGCACAATCCTATAAATAAAGTTGTGTAAAAGACAACTGCTTAAATATTTAAGAGCACACTACAGACACAGTGTTGATTTATGCAGTCAAAGATGACAGCCATAGAGAAAAATAAAATCACAATTTCTCATCCTTATATACTGCTGGAACAATCCAGACCAAATACAGAGTTTGGAAGAAAATTGTTAACTGGTAGGCCACTACTTCACAGACCCTAAGAAACTTGAAAATAGTGTGAGATTTCAACAAAATATACTTTGCAGTGTAGTTTCCTGCTTGATTGTAATAAGCAAATGCATCTTTCTCATAAAATCAAGAGTAAGTAACACTTCAAATCATTTCAGGATAAGAGAAAATCATGAACCTAAAACACAGAAATAGCTACCTCATAACAGTTCTAAATATCACATAATTTTTTTTAACATCTCTGCCCGTATGTTTAATGACTTTGATTATGCAAACCATCCTGTCAGGTTTAGTGAAACGGATGCGTGCTAATGAAATCGTATACAGACATACTTGCAGCCTTAAGCTTAAGGTCACCACTTGACAAGAAAAGAAAAAAGAAAAAAAAAAACTATCTTTCTTCCAGTTTTCCATGTCTTTGAGCCAATTCCTTCTCAACAGCCTTGGGAAAGCAGACATTTCGGCTCTGAGAAACTGTGACTAGAAGAAAGTTCCTCATTCAAGTGTGCCCTGCAGAGAAGCAGCTAAATGATGCTTTCTTTTATGTAGTCAAGAAACTGCAACAAATTAGTGTTCAAAATTTTTATATCAGTACTTACTCAAATAAGTTTGAGTCTTTGAGCACAGGCCAGTGCATTTAGTCTTCTTTACACAATGGTGCATTGTTAGGAAACTGGGTTTAAAATCAAGTTACAGTAAACCCATGAAATTAACAAACTACTCAAGCATAAAAAATAGAAACAATGAATACAACAATCTTAGCCTTTCCATTACTGATAGCACATTCCTGCGCATATATGAGCAAGTGACAAGCATTGGCCTAGGTTTGAAAACAAATATGGTAATGGGAAACAAAAGGGTGCACCTTTCTCCAGAATTTAATTTAATAAAGCAGGTAACCACTTCTTAAACTATGAAGAATAGAAAATTTAGAAATAAGGATGGGTATTCCATACTTTTTTGGAAACACTTCATTAGTTCTCTTTGACAAAAAAAAGTTCCACTATTTAGTGAAGTTCAGATTGATGTGATCTACAAAGAGATGTAAGGTAAAAAAATCAACTTAAAAAATAATAAAATCCCTGCCTGAAATTATTTTCCCTCAGTAAAAACAAGGGGGGAGGAGGAAGCCAATTTTTTTCCATTATAACTATCCTAAATATTCAGGCTGCCTTTTCTCTCCTTTCCAATCACTATGATATTTTTACGTGGGTCTTTCACACAAGAAACACGTATAAAGTAAAACTTTATTATTACAATTCGATTATTAAAACAGAGAAGTCGGAGAAGTCAAAGGCAGCCTAGGGTCAGGCAGAAGTGTGGTGGACTTCAGCGTGTTGCGCGAGTTTACCGGAGCGCAGGTGAACTGCGCCTGATGACGGCACCGCTCTAGAGGGGCTGCGGTGAGTGCCACCCCCGCGGGCTGTGCCACCCCCGCACCAGTGACACATCTCCGCCCGCAGGAGCCGCCACTCACGGCGGACTCAGTCCCGTCCTGCGCGGCGGCAACCTGCCAGCCCCAGGGCTGACACCCAGCGCCGTCCCCCGTGCCCGGCGCAGCGCTCGCCGCCGCGGCCGGACAGGAGAGGGGCGCTGCGGGGCCCCAGCCCCAAGGGGCGGCTCCGCCGGCCTGCCCAGTACAAGGGCAGGCGTGCGAAGCACTGCGCGCCGCTTTGAATCCTGGGCTCTCGGGGTTGGTTTTCCCTTGTTACCGTTCGGTGTTTTGTTTTTTGTTTGTTTGTTTTTTTCAGTGGAAACTTTCCTCTCCCAGCAGAGGCCGGGACAGCGTGAACTGCCCCGGGGCGCCGCGCTGCCATCACAGTTGACAGCTTTCTGCCCCCCCGCGCTCCCCCTTCCGCAGCATTAAAAAGCGGCAGATACATCCGGCCGGAGTTTGTTTTTAATAACGGCTGTTAGTTAGCACAGCTAATTGCCTCCACTGCCAGCAAAATAAAAGTCAAGCTCCATGTCATGGAGCTCCATACGAGCATCCCGCATGGAGCCCACTCCGCACCGGGGTCGGGGCGAGGGGTGGGGTGGTAAGGGGGAGGGCGGCAGAGAGGCAAGCGGAGCGCCGGGGTGATGGAAGCGGGGCCGGCGGCAGGAAAGTTGGAATGGTTTTCGTTTAAGCCCGGAGCAGAGCCACCGGGAAAGTTCACAGCCACCAAGAGCGCCCGCGGGCAGCGGGAGGGGGTTCGCTTGGGGGCTTTCTTTTTACCTTCTGGTCTACGATGGAGCAAGCCATTTCCCGGACGTGGGCGAGACTGAAGTCCCCCGAGGAGTCCTGCAGCAGCAGCACCGGCTCCCGGCTCAGCCCGATCTGGAGGTGGAAGGCGACGCCGCCGCCGGCAGCAGCCCCCGGCGGCGGCAGCGGGCTGGGCGGCCGGATCAGCGGAGGGGCGCTCATCGGAAACTTCCCGCGGGAGCAGCCGCCGCAGCCGAAGGGCCAGGGACGGAGAGGGAGAGGCGGGCGCCGCCGCAAAAAGTTTGTGGGGGCCCCCCGGAGGCGCCAGGCGAGTTCCCCCGCGAAGTTTCAGGAAAGTCCCGTCGATCTCCTCCCGGGTGAAAATGGCGTGGGGGTGGGGGGGAGGACCGGAGAGGATGCAGACAGGAAAAGGCGGCGAGAAAGACGCGAAAGGGGAGCCCGGCCCAGCGCCGCCGCCGAGGTGGTGCCGCCGCTCGGGCTGTTGGCGCCGTGCGCGGCGCGGGGGCGGGACGGGCCGCGCCCTCCGCCGGGCCGGGCCGGGCCGGGCCGCGCCGCTCCGCCACCAAACGGGCGGCCCCGGCAGGCGAGGGCGCCCTGGGGTCCGCTGGTTCCCCGCGGCGGAGCTTGGCTTCAGCCGTCTTTGGTCTCCCCACCTGGCCCAGTCAGAGGGCTGCGGTGCTGGCGGGGGCTGAGAGCCTCCGCTTCCCCCGTCACTTCAAGACGCAGGTGAGAAGAGTCGAAGATTTCCTTGCTGGCAGGCAGCACGGTGGTCTCTCCCGGGCAGGGCGGTGGCGGCGGCTGCCCCCGAGGACGGAAAGCAGTGCCAAGAGAGCAGGAGCTCCGGTCTGGCCCCGGCTCTTGTGCCTGGCCTCGGCCGGCTGCTCCCGTCAGCATCGTATCGCCGCCTCCACCAGTCCATTCAGAGGTTTTGGGAAGAAGCAAGGGACAGCTTGCATCCATCTCTTCTCTAAAACAGCTTGCAGTTTCAGGTACAGTCTCTGCAAAGGAGAAGTACCCTGCCACTCAGAGTTACTCTTCCCAAATCTTGGGATGGGTGCAAGCCTCATGGGTTTGCACAAGCGGCGCCGCTGACAAGGCAAAGTTTGGTCTAAAAGATCCGTCTTGAATCTCTTCTTGGAGATGTGTGATGGCAGTGGAAACGTGAACTGTCAGTATTTTAGATATCAAGAGAGAAACTCTTCAACTAGATATATGTGGCACCTGTAAGGATGACAGTACTACCTGTATGTTTGTAAATACAGTGGCTGATCAGATTTACAACCTGTTTCGTTGCAAACTACTTTTTTGACCAAAATGTAGCAGTGTTGTTTTATTTTTTTAGCGGTCTTATTAGGACCTATTTTACTGTTGTCAGCTTATTTCCAAACTGGGAACTACTGCAAGCTTCCCATAATCCCATGACCCAGCCAGCTTTTCTATACATCGTGAGAGAAACAGACTATCTTGCAGCCTTGCTTCATTGTTGAGTCTGAGGTTCAGAGTGGAGCCCCCTTGCTTTCTAAGCTTGATGAGAGCTTAGATGTGGCTAGGTTGAATCTTTGTCTCAGACTTTGTCAGTAGTTCATATCTAAAGGATATAAAATAATATTTAAAGCACTCGACAGGAAGGTCTCCCTTATGCTTTGTGTCTTCGTTCTCTAAGTTGTCCTAGCTCAATTCTAATTCCATTTGCCTTTGTATGTTTCATCCATATAATAAGTAATAGAGTGAACTTTGCCATCAGACTTCGTTAAGTTGTGCTTTTAGAAATTCATATTAAACCTACTTTTGCTGATGCCTTTGATGGTGATTCTTTAAGTGACCTAAATCACTCATTCATGACACAGCTCTTTTGCACACTTCAAATAATAAGAGCAGAAGTAGCGGTAATAAAACTGAGAACTGGATATCCTTGGTTTTCTTATCTATGAGAAATCAAGTGATAAAATTCATATGTTGTGACTTAACCTGCAAATCTTGTGTGCAGACACAAGTTTTTCTTCAAAAAGAAAGGTTGCAGTATTTTTTAAAAGTTGTAGGTTGCTGCATTTTTTGTTTAGTGTGCCAGCTATGTTGGAATACATTTGTAAATCAGAATAGATGAGGGTAGGATTTCTTCAGTGCTGTGTCAGCCAGTCATATACAAGGACCATTTATAAAAGGATTCAGTGGAACGACATGATGTGATCCCAAGTACAACCTGGCCTGTTGTACTGACTGAAATGTCATCTGTTTCATGAGATGGGAGAATTACTGTGCTGATGCCTGGGAAGGGAAAAGACCATTCGCAGCGGCCTGTTTTGTTCCCTGTGACCTGACACAGTGTGCATGCCTGGTTAATAAACTGTGCATGCACAGTTGAAAAAACCACTGGAAGTTTAGGTTTCACTGCACCTGTACAGATCAATTCAGCAGTTAGCAGTACATCAACTGTCACCTTGAACTTGCAGGGGAAAAACTGAGTTTGTCACACATGGTTACACAGTTTATGCATGTGACTACCTCCAGGAAGAGGGCAGTCAGGAGAAGATGTCACTGTAACGTCACCTTACGAAAACCTCTCCCAGTTGCCCCCACGGTATCGTTGCTGTAATGTTACTTTTAATTGCTCTGTATTGCCACAGTATGAAGGGTGAATAGTGGTCTTTGTATGTTCTCATGCATTGTATACTTGACCCTTCACTTAGATGTATTTCTGAAGCTGTTATCTTCTGTTCTTTCGGCTTACTGCGTTGTATAGATGGAATTCTGTTCCATGCATTGGCATCCATCCCCTCATAAAATTTTTATTGCTTTCTGCTTTTCTCTATCTAGGATGTAACTGGTCCTTTTTGAACAGCTAAAAAAAAAAAAAAAAAAAAAAAATTCAAACATCCAGCAAAGAATAATGCAGGATATGCCTAAGCAGTGGAGAATATTCTGTAAGACAGTTTCTTTGACACAGATGTCTAAGTTTTTAGGTTAAACTTGTTCCTAAAATTTAGTTCTTGTATGTTTAAAAAGAGAGTAGAACACGTGATTACAAGGAGATGTTCACTACTGGTTTTGTGAGGCAGATAGTGCAATATCCTATCTAGTTCTTTCATCAGTATTTGAAAAATAGGTTGCTTGGCAGTATGCTCAATAGTATAATGTATCTTGGCAAGGAGAAAAGAACAGAACAAAAGCAAATAAAGAGTAAGAAGAACCAGTTGCTGGAAACTGGGTAGAAAGTAATCCTGAAAATAAAGCTCATATTTTAACTGTGAAAATAAGTAGTCATTAGCATGAATAAGCAAAGAAAGTGACAGGTAACATCTTTTAATTTTTCAGATTTAGGCTGTTTACTTAGAAGGTTTTTGGGCTTCGTACTGTAGTAACTTCTTTAGTTTCCCAATGTCAGAGTGGAAGACATCTACCTTTAGCTGTTTGTTATGTTCCTAATGGGATCCCAAAAAGACAGTGCACATGAATTCAAAGATGTAAAGATAGTAATTTTTCTTTCTCCCTTGAAAGTAATGTATCTTTTCTATCTCAGAGGGAAGGCAGCATCTGTCTAGGAAGAAAGTGAGTCGGCATAAGCCCTTTGTGCCTTAGTTCCATATGTTTGCCTCTGCTGGACTTCATAACCAGTTCCATGCAGAGTAGGAGCCTGTAGAAGAGGAATTTTCCAAGCCACTGCTGAAGATAACAGCTTTTCATCCTTGAAAATTTGTCTTCTCAGTCTGCAACAAGACATCAAAGATTAAAGTAGGCAAAGACACTTTTTGTTGCTGAATCAGGCCAATACCCATTTTTTGCATTCTGACACTAAAAATTTTTTTTTCCCTCATCTTACACATTGCCAAACTACACACACACTTCTGTGTTTGAGCAGGAACCTCAAATTTTACAAAGAGTAGCTTTCATGTCTAGTTGTGGTTTACATATTCTTTATATAGACATAGATTTTAACATTGAACATTCAGCTGAATCTATTTATGTTTAGACTCTGTGAACTTATCCTGTTTCTACAGTTAAAAACTTTGGTATTTGCATTCTTACTAAGCAGCAAAACATTCTTTATTAAAAACAGGTCTAGAAAAGTGAAAGCTTTTTTTTCTGCTGTTTTCAGATGCTGAAATGATATTTAAAATGGACTTCATGGCCCCATAATCTCTCTCCTGAAACAAAAGCAGAGCACTGAAAAAAATTAACCAAGGAAGAAAGAGAAAAACCAACTGGTAAACACAACAAGGAAGATGTGTAAACTGTGATGGAAAGTAAAAGGACACTAGAACTGGAAATGCAAATGTCTCTGGATCTGGGATTGGTACTGTGTTAAGGCCGAATTGGTAAAGAAAATGAAGCTGATATCTGAAATACTGACAATATAGTTTCACAGATAAGTTCCTGGGTACTCATTTGGAGAGAAGAAGCAGATGTTAGCTGTACAATTGGTTAGGGATTTTCTGATGAGCTAGTTATGTCTATGAGAAAATGATAACATTTTAAAATCTAAATTGTTGTTGTGAATACTGTCACTAAATATCCCAGATTGTTTTGTTTGTTGTTTTGTTTTTATTTGTGTTTTTTTTAATGTTTCCAATTGTTAAAATTGCTTCAGCATTTCTAAAAGGAAAGGAATATTATCTTCCATGAATTTCTGTTAAATGTTGTAGATAATTAGGACAAAATATGTAAAAAAAATTAAGCTTAAAAATCAAAATTCAAGTTTAAAAATCTCAACAACTCAATGTAGTATTTTTTATAAACGAGTCACCAAAAAAATTGAATTTTTTTATCTTTATAATATCTTGGAAGTGGAAGTTAAAGTCTGATTTAGGCTGGCAAAACCATTTTCTGCCTATGGGCAAACTGATCATGGACATATAAGGTAGATAACATTGAAATAGAATCTAAAATATTGCAGGATGAAGCTTCTTTATGTCAGATATCATATTCTGTTTCTTTGAGCAAAACGTGTGCTGCTTTGGGAGGGAAGAGGTTTTTTTTGTTTTCTTTATTCACTGTGCTCCAAACTGATCTCACTATACTTGAACAATTTTGGGACAGGACAGCCTCTGTTTATCCCAAAGTATGCTTTGAGGATGTTTGCTATGGCTTGATCATAGAATAACTGCTGCATTTAGATAAGCGTGAGTATCTTGGCACTGTGCATATTTGTGCAAATTGTCTTCACTGGCTCTCTGGTTCTTATGAGCACAGTGCATCTGGAATAGGCCAGTCATTGCTGCTTAAAACTGCTGAGAGACATTTCCCATTCTGGGAATACTAAAAGTAAGGTAGTCATTGTGCACAGTTTTATTCAGTAATTTCTTAATACTATTTCTTAGATGTTTTTTGAATAGGGTACCCTCTGTGAAGGACATTTTTTTTATTGCTTACATAGCACTATTTCACTAAACAGTCTCCTGAATGTCACTGACACATAATTCTACAGAATTCTGGGCTGCACTGACCTGAAATCTCTGGGTCCCAGGATCATACTTTTTCATAGTATATAA